TCCACCCTGCTGACAGTAAATCCCCTCACCAGCTAATTGAACAGATGCATCCCGTGCTGCTTCCTAAAGATCTGCAATGCTGGGCTGTGATGGACAGCATAAAGTGGCACAATGAAAAACAAAAGCCTTTTAACTGAGAGCACTGCTTTGTTCTGCTGAGAACTTTAAGGTTACTCCAGCTCATTCCAACTGCTGTGAGGATCTTAATTTTTACTCACCAATTTACTTGCAGCTGTCATTCTTCCCAGTATTAAAAGTTCAGCTCTTCAAGTGTGGGCAATTGGGGGAGGTAGGAATGAGAAGAGCTTATTGAAAAATAACAACAGCAAAAACAAGTAAAATCTGGCTTGGCTCTCAAGTACAAAAAGTTATTTTCAAAGCCTATAAATTATGACATAGTGATTAACATGCAATTTAAATATATTTAAACAACAATTATATCACATTCCCAGCCCAGCTAATTGGCCTCACAGATGTTCCCTTGGAGCTATATTGCCCTTCCAAGGGGGAATGAGTGAGATGCTCTTTATCATGGAAAACAGAAAAAAAGCAAATGGAAAAAAAAGGAAACAAATATAAAAAGCAGCCGGTAACCCTAAAAACAATGAATGCTAAAGGGGCTTTGTTTAGCGTTTATTCCATTTCAGTGCCGAAAAGGGGGAAAAGCATGATGACTCTCCCATTACTGTGATGCTATTTGGCTTTATGTCCAGATACGGAGTTAGCAGGTTAGGGACTGACTGAAAGACTTATCAAAACAGTGACCGTGGATGCATTCTAATATGGCATGGTCTTGCTTGATGTAACACATCAGCCACAAGAGGTGCAGTTATCTTAATACAGTGTCCTTACAACTGAAGGAGTCACAGTCAAGATAATAAATGTAGATAATAAGCTGTTTCCTGAAGAAGACTGACTAGTGAGTTATTTCTTTGATGAGTACTCTCTCAAGTTTTATACAAGGCAAAATATGCAGCAGTCAATCAATGCTAGTTCCTCAGCTGTGATTCTAGTCTAATATTATCCAGCACAGCTACTACTGCAGGATAAAGGATAAAAGGACTACCAGTAATTACTAATATTTTGGAATACTTTGCCTCCCAATATGTCATTAGATGTATCGGTTGCCAGCAAGTCACTTCTGACTCATGAGGACACAGTGTGTGTCAGAGTAGAATGGTGCTCCACAGGGTTTTCAATGGCTGGTTTTTCAGAAGTAGATCACCAGGCTTTACTTTCGAGGCACCTCTGGGTGGACTTAAATCTCCAACCCTTTGGTTAGCAGCCCAGTGCGTTAACCGTTTGCACCACTAAAGAACTCCATGTCATTATAGAATTGAAACAAATTTACTCCAACCTCATTTTACTCGTGTCTTTCCTTCTAGTAATCTCAGTTAATTTTTGTCATTAAATTGTAAATTCCAAAAGGCCAGCAGCCATGTCTCCCCTAGTTCATCATAGCTTTCCAGCATCTAACACAGTGCCTGAGACAGAGCTTTAATACTTGTTAAAGTAATCAGGGTTGAATGATCAGGATAAGATCAGTGTTTGTAATTTGATAAAGTTTTACCAAGAGAATGTCGTGTTTCTTGTGCTACTCCTCTATTTTACAAATCACTGGATTATATAGAAAATTTCTTTCTCAAATTTTATGAAAAAATGATTTGAATTGATTTCTTATTGAAAGATAACAAAATATACCAAAATTTAAGATAATTCAAGAACAGGTAGGCATTTAAAAATGCTTCTTTGACATCAATTGACTGGCTTTAAAAATTCATTTTAGACTAATGACCACAACTACCACAGCCTCCACCAGACTGAACCAAGTACAACTAGATGGTGCCTGACTACCACCACTGACTGCTCTGACAGGTTTCACAATAGAGGGTCCCGGACAGAGCTGGAGAAAAATGTAGAACAAAATTCTAACTCACAAAAAAAGACCAGACTTACTGGCCTGACAGAG